GCGCGAGCCGCCTGAGGACACCGCTCTCGCCCGCCCGCGGCGGCAGCCAATCGGCGGCGCAGGCCGGCGTGACGCCGGATGGGGGAAGCACCGCCCACGCGGGCCTTAAAGAGACAGGTTCCCTTTGCAGCGCGGGAGAGCGCAGCACCGGTTTCACCCAAAAACCCTCCTCGGAAGGGCTCGGCGGGACTGCGCGGGGCAAGAAGGCAGCGAGACAGGCCTGTTACTCTCAACCCTACGGCTTTATTCAATAGTCGCTCATCCTACACAAGTACAAACACAACATGGCCCAAAAGGTTACAAAGTGATACAAAACAAAAATCTGTATAGTATTGACTGTACAACGGGCGGAAAATTCTTTGCCTTTGCAAACCCCGGTTACTGCGGCCCCCGCTCTGCCTCGCAGCCCCCAGGGGGGCAATGGGCAGTCACCCCCTGACACGGGTTAAAGCAGAAGCACTCGCACTGTCACCTGGGGGGGTTGTGTAGGAAGTTTTTACCAAAACCCTTTAAGAAAAGGTGAAAGAAATCACTTACAGGGGCAGCTACAAACCAGTTCTTAAGATTTCCAGCTTCTTTTCTAAAGTATCATGGTCAGCGGGCTGGACTGTGGCAATGGCCTGGTGTATGCATTACAGAAGAGCTTAATCTGCAGAAAGAGCACTCTCTGCAGGAACTAACGATCTGTGTGGAATTGGAATAAAGCAACAACTCTCGGGCAGATCTAGGCTCCAGCTGCTCTGAAAAATCCTGTGCTGGCACCCAGCGATCAGTTAAATGCCTCCCTGCCTGACAACACAGGGTTTCTGAGCAGCTGGAGGTTTACGTGCTGGTCTGTACAGCGTGCTAAGCGGTTAGAAATCACCAAGCAGCAGCCTGCTAACTGCAGAAAGAGAGGCTGTAACATCTTCCCATCCCTTTACCTGGAAAAGATGTTTTTGCAGCCTTCAAAATCAAAGCCATTTTTAAATAATTTCAATTCAATGCCAGGAAACTAGAAGCCCCACAGGAAAGGCTGTCTACTGGCCAGGAACTGTCACTCTCTCCTCTTAGGTTGCCTTCACTGCCAGGATTATTTCTCTCTCACTCCTCCTCATCCAGACCCATTAAAAAAAAAAAAAAAAAAAAAGTACAATATTTAGTCTGACGGGATTTAAGTTAAAAAATAAAAAGCTGTCCAGTCTTTTTGCTTTATCGTGAGGAGTTTGAGCTGGAGCGGCTGCGATGGCGCCTTCGGCCAGGAGATCTGGATCTTGATCGCCGGCGAACGGGGGATCTGCGCCGAGGAGACCGGGACCTGGAGAGGGAAGGAGAAAGCTTTCATCAGGAGACAAGGGTAACAGCTTCCAGTAATTTGCCAGCCCATTTATCAGCTTTTCAAAACCACTTCCCTGCTTCCTTCCAAAAACCCCTCACACACCACAGTAAAAGAGCTCAAGCGAAATAGAGCCAGCCTCTCTGAAGAGGGGAAAAAGGCAACTCAAAGTCTGACCACGCAGCAGGACTATTCTCACTACCCTTCCTCTGCTTCAGGAAGTTGAAAGAATGTTTAATATCCAAAGAAGAGACAAGAATCTTGTTTTCTTCCTCAAGCAAAACAAGCTCACATTCATTCTATGTCATTCTCCTTCACCCGAAAGGTCAGCTTTGATAATATTCAGGGATTTAACATAAGCCCTTTCAAACCCCAGGGACACTTCTTAGAGGAAGTCTAACTCTAACTCAGTCTAACTTAGAGGAAGTCTAACTCAGATTCAATCTTTTCAGTACTACAATCAATCTGTATGGCCGCTATTGTGACACTGGTATTCCAGGCCCAGAATATTAACACAGTCTGAAGAGGATAACAGGAATGAGACTAGGGGAGAACACACATGAGGAGGGAACGCCAAATCTAGCTTTTCCCAGACCTCAGGAAAAGGCACATTTAAATGAAGACCAACAAGCAGCTTGTGCCATGTTAACGAGTTCTCATTTTTAAACCTGTAGTTCATAAGCTATTCAGCAATCCAGTGGCTCAAACAGGAGTGGCTTTTACCCATGATGAGTCCAAGCAGATTTCCAAGCTCATCTAGATGCTCTCAGCATCTAGAAGACTCCAAAAGACACATTGTCTGAGCATGTTCAGGCAGCCCCAAGTCACACAAGGGGCACATGCATGTCAGGTCACACCTTGGGGTCAGTACACTCCCAATGCAGGATGGCTTTTTGGTCTCAGAAATAAGGGAGGAAGCAGCAGGGGCTTCAGGAAAGCAAGCGGCTGGAGCAGGTTGCCAAAAGCATTCTGCAAGCCAGAAGCCCATTCCCGCTTCACCTGGAAGCATTTGTGCAGAAGGGACTCAGGGAACAGGCTGGAAAGCATCTGAAATTTCTGACCGACTGCATCCAGAGTGCAGGCCAGAGCAGGTCATCCTGCCGCAAAGCAGTTATAAGTAGAACCCTGGTTCAGCTGATGCCCAAAAAGTCATCTGGAGGGGAAAGTCAATTCCAACAGGATTGAACTGTCCTCATGACGAGGCTTTCAGTGATAAAGCGTTGTTACACTGAGAAGGAAATAGAGACTGTCACAGCTCTCACCTTCTCCTCATGCGAGGGGGTGACCTGCGCCACATGGGTGGTGGCGGCAGCATCCTCCTGGGTGGACTAAAGCGTCTGGGAGGCGGCCGAGGTCGTGGTGCCAGCACAGCTGTAGCAGTGATCTCCTGACCATCAATCTGGCCTTTTTAGGGAATCACAGAAACAGGAAGAACTAAGTATTTTCCAATACTAACATCCACGTTACATTACTGCAACTCACAGCTTTTGTCAGTAGCAACTGAAGCGTGACTCAGCCTACAGTCCTATTTCCATCACCCACTCAGAGGTTATTTTGACAAAGTCTGCACATATACTAGACTTCTTAACCTAATATCCCATCAAATTGCAGTTCAGACGTTAACAGAAACTTAAAGAATTTTACTACTGCTTGTTTTGAAAAAAAATCAGTTTTAATAGTTCTGTGATTTTTTTGATCCGTCCTGAATCACAAAAAGCTGAAGCCATTTGGGCTGAAAGCAAGCAGATCAGTTCCCCAAAGGCTTGCCCCATCACCTCTAACTCATTTTCTGATCAACCTCGTCTGCTCCAAAGATTTTTAAAAGCACCCGGTCTCCATGCAGCATTTGATACCTACCTCCATCCATGTGCTTTAGGGCTTTCTCAGCATCATCTGGGTTCTCAAACTCCACATAAGCATAACCTTTAGAGAGGTGTGGGTTTAGCCTGTCGACTGGCATGTCAATCATTTTAATCTTTCCGTAAGTGGAAAAAATTTCCATGATGTGATCCTGCAGAGAAAGAGCAAGACCACACTTACTGACCAGGACTCAGGCTGTACAGCACTAGATGAGCTTTAAATCAACGCCACAATCAGGAAGAGACCTATCTCTTTGGCCAGACGTGGGAAGGATTGCCACTGCTTTCTCTGCTGTTGTCTGTTCAGTTCGTCCTTGGATTGTTCCAAACCCTCAGTTCTAGCAGCGTTACTGCTGCAATGTCAACACTGGCTACAAAACCACAACTCATGTAAAAATCCTCTTGGGGACGTGAAAAGGGAATTCACGCCCTCAGCTGAAAACTCATAAGGTGCAATTGTTAGCACTTTTCAAAAACCATCATTTTTTCCAGCACCCTAAACCTTTTACCTCTGAAGACCTTTAAACTATATTCTAGCAAAGACAACTCAAGCCAGCCCAGCTGTCTTCAAATTCTTTATCAAGAACCTCCAGATATCCTTAGGGTCCCCAAGGTAATTTCAGCTATTGTCCCAACTTCTCCATTTTTCTTCCTAGAAAGGCAAGATACAAGTTCTGGGATACTGACAACGCAGACAGACCTTTTAAGCACTACACATTCTCAAAAGCCTACACTGTATTTGAGAATCAGTAAAATCCTACCAAAATTTTCCTCACTAATCAATTTGGACACAAAGTAGGAATTTGCTACAGCTTGGCAGCACTCTAGCAACAAGAAAGTTTTGAGAGCTTTAAAAAAAGCCACTCACACATCCTCACAGAAGACACACAAGTTTGATACTACACAGAAACGTGTCATTACCTTGGTCACGTTTCTAGTGAGCCTTCCAACATGCACTTTTGTAGGTCTGGGTGACGGGCTTCGTCTCTTCCGCTCCTTTTCATCCCTCTTGGGTGGCTTGGACCTGATTTTGACAACAGAAAATGTTTACAGCTTCTGGGCAATGTGCAAGACAAAACCAAGTCAATCATTATCACATGACAAAAAAGTACCATTTTCTTGGGAGGGCATCTTTTTTGTTAAGAAGTTACAGGTTAGGAAGTGCTGGGGTGTTGGTGCTCCACTTAGAAACACCTCAGGACTTGCACTTAACTACTTGTGCTTTAGAACATTCTAGAATTTGAGAGCCTTTTTTGTGAGTTTTCAACTTGAACACAACTAGGTAACGAACACTAAATTTAGCAAAGGTTTCTTCAAAGTTGTTGGCGATAAGTAAAGAATTTCCCAGTTGTTAAAACAAAAACAATTCTTTGCCTCAACAATTAAAGAGGCAAAATGAAGACATAAACACGAAAACATACCACAGCCAGGCAAATTAATGGATCCAATTATTTGTGTTTCTGTATCCTCTGTTCACTACAGATGTCCAGAAATGTCACAGTTTAAAAAAATTTGCAGCCGCACAAGTAGCTGCATATCACAATTTCTTTGTAGTTTTTTAAATGTAATTTTAATCTGTAAAAAACTCAGTACGAAGACAATTTATATTTATGCTTCTTCCTAACTGTCCATAAACTGAGGGATATACTAAAAAAACCTCACACTAGTTCATAAGAATTCATTAGATTTTATCAGCCTTCACCACCTTGCCTACAGAATTATCCAAAGGAAAAGCTGTATGTACACCAACATAGTTTGATTCCTGCCCTTACAGGAAAACACTTCCTTTGCCCCTACTCCCATTTTATTTTTTTTTATACATAAGAATATAGATTTATATATGTATTCATATATACACAACTTTCTGACTTTTCTGATAGTCTTGGCTGTAATTTACAGGAATCAAAGAGCACTCACATCTAGTGCCCGTACAGTCCCATACTATTGAGGAAACATTGATTAAAACATTGATTAAAACTGCCTCTACAAAATATAATATTTAAAATCCCTTTAAAATGAGGTTTTTAATCTCTCTTCCTACAGGGCACAGGCTTTGATTGTGCACAAAAGGAGCACACCCACTCTAGCAGAATTCAGACCTCTAAGTTACAGAGAAAGTAAACGGTCCTCAGAAAAAAATCTATTCTGATCACAATCTTGTATTCTACACGGAAATCAACCTCCCACCTGGTAATTCCCAGCAGGCAAATAAAACTCACTTGGAGCGGGAGCGCCTCCTGTTGTCATGTCTCCGTCGAGATGGACTTGGAGATCCAGAGGAACTGCTGGAACTGGAACTGCGCGAAGTGCTGGAGCTCCCAGAGCGGCTTGAGGCAGAAGAGGAGCTAGAGCCACTGCTAGAACCAGTGCTGGAACTGGACCCCGAACTGGAAGTTGAACTGGAACGGGATCTGTTAGGAGCAGAGCGGGGAGGAGAGGGAAATAAAAATGAGTGAAGTACCCAGAAAAAGAATGGCTGAAAAATTTTTGCTAATTACGGAGAGAACAACTGTGAGTGAGAACAATGAAAACTGATGCTCCACAGCTCACTAAACAGCCAAAGAAACTCCCACCTAAAAAAACCCTAAAACCCTTTAAGTTAGAGGAAACTGCACTGTGACTAACATAACACAAGCTTTCAACCAATCCGTGACACAGGGAATGAAACATACCAGAAATCAAGCTGGTGCTTTCTGAGAACACTGTGATTTGTTGCTACCTGTAAAAGTAACTACCTGGTACTGCTGCTCCCACTGGAAGCACTGCGTCTTTTGCGCGTCTTGTCTCGACCACGATCCTTTTCACCCGATTCCTTAGTGGCTGCTTTATCCTTGGACCGGTCCTTTGATTTCTCTTCAGACCTATCCTTGCGCTTGGTTGGTGAGGGAGCCCTTCAGGAACAAAATGCAGACCTTGATTAATGAAAAAAACAAACAACAAAAAACCCACACCCAAACACAGAATAGAACAGCAACACAAAACACTGAACTTCAAACATAACTCAAGATCACCATAACTGTGGAGTTAAAAGTGCTAGGCAAGTTTTGAGTTTTTAGATAAAGGAAAATATTTTACATTACAGAACTTTGAGGAAGCCAGTTCTAGCACACATAGATTCTCACACATAGAAACTCACGCAGGAAGAGGTACATTTCCAATTTCTCACCCTCACTGTGAGGGTCCTAGTACCCTACAACATCCCCAGTTTTGTTAAGCCTAGAAAATTCAGACAGAATGATTACCTAGTGTTGGATTTTTTATTATTTTCTTTGAGTCCTAGCAAACTCTTCTTTTTCAATCCTGGTAACTCCATTACCCCTTTGGAGGCCTCCAAATCAGCACTGACTGGGCCTCACTTATCTCAAATCTCACTTCTAACTCCTAACTTCTAACTCCACTTCTCAGAACCAATCCCTAATTGAGTGCAATAAACTCCAAAGAACAGCCTAGTGACAAGATAAAAGGGTTTAGAAACAAGAAATTTACAGAGAGGCATAAAACAACAAATGTGCTTTGCACCAATGGCAGCACACTGGGCATCAACTGACTCCTGGAGTGCTCCGTTACACCTCAGGAGAGGGCCGTTAACGGCTGCCCTGTGCTGGCTCACACCCGCACCCTGCGCCTCACGGAAATGGCTGCGTCCAGGTGTAAAGCTGTCATTGTGCCATTCACAGAAGTAAAAAGGATGTCAATTATCTAACAAAAAAAAAAAGTCAGACAGAGGACATCCATTTTCTCTGCAAGAGGTACATGCAGCTCATGCCTCTTGCTAACAGCCTTGTCTCCAGAGGAGTAAGACACTGTTTTCTCCAAAGCCAATTTGTGCCACACAACACATATTTGTCAGGAAGAAAGGGATTGTTGAGGACAACACCCCTCACTGAATTATGGCTGCTCTCAGCCTCAACAAGCTGCTTCCAAACCTCTGCCAGCCTTAGAAAGGCTAGATTACAGGGTCCAGTTTGCTGAAGGGCTGCAACAGCATATCCCACTTGAAATTCTTAGCAGAGTCTAAACTGGATTCTGACCTCAGCTAGCCCCAGTCAGTTCCCTCTTTACTCTAGATCTAAATGGGGACAAATTTAACACCCTACTATTTAACACTGAAATACTGGGGAGCAGTTGAATTCCAGATGTTTCCCATGAGAGGGCTGCATCCATCAAATATTCTGTGACGTCTAAATGTGTTGCTGCATTTTGACTATTCCACACAGGTTGTTTAACACCTGTATTACAAAGCTTCCTCCAACTTTTGTTTTAATAACCAGTAAAAGGCTGTGGCAGATTTGACTTGCTGTAACATCTATTACCTACCTATGAATGAAACATTCAGGAAATAGAGGGGTGGGTGCAAGCATGTCTGAACTGCCAGGCTTATCTGAAGTGGCACTGAATATTCACAGTTACTGCATGATGTTGGAAATCTCTGCATGCGTCACAGCCAAAATTAGTTAACAAGCAAAAAAACTCCCCAGCTCACTGCATCCAATAGTCTTGTTGCTTCTGGTGTCAGATTCTAGCATGCAATTACTTTATTCTCTAAATTGCAATTAAATTTATCTTTGGGAAGAGATGACTTCTGAACAGCTAAGCTTGCTTTTCTGATTTTCAGCTTCATAGTTTTCCCTAATATGATGACTCCAAACAGCAACATCACAAGCAAACACTCGCAAACCCAGCTCTCTCAGATCCACAAGTCAAAACACACCCAGGCCTTTTTGCATGGAGCCCAGGAAACCCACAACACAAATGTGATGCTGGCAGGGCTCACTGAAAGAGGAAATGTCTTCTCTAACAGCAGGGGCAGTAAGAAGGCAGTCCACGGACTGTTCCATCGGTGCTGCAAAGGTGACTAAGAAAAGCAAACCTGAGTAAGTCACCAGGACATTTCTAACCAGCTCTATGTCTCTAGGGCAAAGTGTGAGGGGGCTGCAGTTCAAGAAATGAAAGCCACTGCACGACACCAGCTGACTCCCTTGGAAGAACAGAACAGACAAGTTTCTGGACTCACAAAACCAGAAAACTCAACATCTTCCTTTCCCACCTTTCTTCTCCTAAATATACCACAGTCAGGTTTGTGTTATCTCTTCCTACACACTGATTTCTCTTGCATCTGTGGACTCTGGCAGTGATGATGCTATCAGCTCAGCCATGCAAAACTACCTACTACCGTTTGATAGCTGGCTCTGGTTCCACTTGTACTGGAAGGATGAGAGAGAGCCCAGATGAAGATCAGCACACTCTTTACTGTTATCTAGGGCCACTGCTGGAGTAGTGGATAATACTCCAGTTAAATAGCTACCCCTCTAGCACCACTCCTCAGGACAGGCACTTACCAGACAAATCACCCATGTGATTTTCATACATTGAGCAAAATTCCATATGATGGTACATGCAGCATTTAAGCAGCCTCCAAACTAAACATTGATTTCTTTCCATCAAAATCACAGAATTGCAGAATGCTTTGGGTTGGAAGGGACTTTAAAGATCACCTAGTTCCAAACGCCTGCCCTGGGCAGGGACACATCCCACCAGACCAGGTTGCTCCAAGTCCCCTCCAGCCTGGCCCTGAACCCCTCCAGGGATGGGGCAGCCACAGCTTCTCGGGGGCAACCTGGGCCAGGCTCTCACCACCCTCACGGTGAAAAATTTCTTCCTAATATCTAATCTAAATCTCCCCTCTCCCAGTTTAAAGCCGTTACTGCTTGTCCTATCACTACAGGCCCTTGTAGAAAGTCCCTCTCCAGCTTTCCTGTAGCCCCCTTCAGATATATGTCTTCCTGGAACCTTCTCTTCTCCAGGCTGAACAGTCCCAACACTCTCAACCTGTCTTCATAGAAGAGGTTCTTCCAGCCCTTGGATCATATTTGTGGCCTCCTCTGGACCTGTTCCAACAGGTCCATGTCTCTCCTGTGCTGAATGCCCCAGAGCTGGACGCAATACTTGAGGTAGGGTCTCACCAGAGCAGAGCAGAAGGGGAGAACCCTCTCCCTCACCCTGCTGGCCACACTGCTTTTATAGATGTACCTTTCTCAAGAATCCCACCTGCCTAGCTTGCTTCAGTTGGAAACCTCAGCCTAAGAGACACAGCCTGTGGGCAGTGTCACCTCTAAGTGTTCTTTCACTGGAAGACACAGAAAGAATAAAGTCATGGCCTTCACACAAGGGTGTGTAACAATGCATTTCTAAGCAATATACTTTTTTTCCTACAATCAAAAATACCTCTCAATCCCTGCCAAATGAATGTTTTTGCAGCACCCGCCCCAAACCAAAAAGTCTAAGACCAATCTACAGAGGCCGAACGTTCATTCCACACACACACCTCTCTGGTTTAAGAGCTGGTCTGCACTCTTTTTTTGGAGTTTGCACTCCAGCTGCAAAGGAAGCAAACTCCACTCTCCCACGGACTTCCTGCACGACCGCAGGCAAGTCCTTTCACGGCAGTTTGCTTCAGATCCTCATTTGCAAAATGGGGAAAAGGTTTCCTCCTGTGAGGAGAGGGTTCAGCGCTCGGCGGGTCTTTGCAAAGTTACGGCCGCTCGCCCAAAGGTAACTACAGCGAGCGGGCCCGCAGCAGCGCCGGGGCAGCCCGCTCCGCGTCCCGGTTGGCACGCCGTGGGGTGCGGGCCGAGCGCCTGTCGCTGCCGACCGCACCGTGCGCCTGGGCACGCTCCGGGCGAAGCGGAGGCGCGGGCTGAGGAACAGGAAGAGAAAAGCAGAGACCAAGCATGGAATCGGTTCAGAGCAAAGCCC